AAAAGAAATAGCCCTTGGTAACAGCAACAGAACTGTAGAGATGGTTCCAGGATTAAATCTTTGCTGCCAGGATAAGGCCTTTTTATTTTTTCCTGGTATAAACACTTTTGCATCTCTAAAATGAGAACTGGCAAAGCTTTGAAGTACTGCATCTCGTTACAGATGAATATTTTAACACTTTGAGCTAACATGTTTTGAGTTTTCAGGAAAATAATCTAGTTTTTCCAAGTTTCCTGGATAAATTTACAACTGCGAATGGATTTTCTTTAGCAGGGTGACTATCTGACAAAATTAGAAGCTACACATCACCCACCAACCTGCCCATGGTTTTGCTCCTCCAGTCAGTGTAATAACATTTTTTCCTGAAAGAACAGCAAAAATCAGCTGAGAATAATCAAGTAGGAGACAGTTGAAAAGGACATACACATTATAAAAGGACATTGGACATTTTAAACCATGCATTTTCATAGGCAGAAAGGTGAAAAACACTTAAAAAAGGCAACTGAAATAGAATAAGTCATTAAAATGCTGTGATTTCACATATTTTCAAGTTCAAAATTTGTTTCCGAGTCAAAATTAAATTTTAGATTTGTAATTAAATTATATTAAGTCAATAAATCACTCATACGACACCTATCAGACAGGGTTCAGTAGTATCATGTTAGTATTCATTTCATGTGGTCTGTCTTGGTTTCTACTTCATGACACCTATTTTAGAAGAGTTAACAGGCTCCTAAACACCTTATGTGCTCTATGCATTGAATACCCATAAGCATTTAATGCCATTAGATACTATCTTCATTCTTCATTCTCTGGAATGGTATACCTACCCTTGATGTTTTGCATCCAACAATACACAGCCCTAAAAATCTAAGAGTACTAACTACAACAAACAACTTCCACGTCAACAGTTGTTTTCTCTCCACTTCACCTGTCACAGCAACTTAGAGAAACACGATCAGAAATCTCCAATAAAGTCTTCTGAGAACAGTTATTTTGAAACCATATAGAAACCTTTCTTCTGCAATGTAGTATTTTACACATCTAGTTTCATTTTTTCAGGCTTTTTTTCTGGCCTCCTCCTATATTTCATGTGATATTTATTCAAATGTACCTATTTGAAATATTTGAACAATTTTTAGATTGCAATTTCATTTAATTTCCTATTAGAATATTTCTGAAGAGAACAGAAATGGTGATCAGTTTACCATTTCTCACAGTTCTGTTATGGAGGTAGACATGGACAGTGGACTTTTTTCTTTCTTTCTCAGATAAATGTGTTTCATTCTACAGCCAAACTGGCAACAAGGTGAAGCAGCAAAATTTAGCATTTTATGTACTTTTGGTGCACTGAACTGAGTGGAAAAAAAAGAAGCTAAAGCAACAGCCCAGAAACAAAGAAACATGGATCGGGGGGGCTGAGGGAGGAAGAGAATGTCAGTTTACATGTCAGTTAATAATATAATAACCAAACATGACTTTGAATGTCTTCCAAGTAAAGCAGTATTGCAAAAGTCTGCCCTTGTTTCCCTGAGGAGCACTACTGATCTGTGAAGTTACTAAAACTATGAAGAATTCAAACCATTGCTAAATCCTAAGTTAATTTTATGACTTCAAGTATCAAAACCAAGAAAACTATTTTTGAATAGGAATTTAGATTGTTTATGTGTGTGTGTACACATACGCAGACACTTCTATATTTAAAATGTTGATGAGTATTATTCAAACTAGAGAAGCTCAAATGGCACTATAAGAATATTCTCAAACATATGGAAGATGACTGTTAGAGAAAACTTTTTTTTTTTTTTTTAAATGGAAATAACTTTGAGGGCTTAATGGGATGATGTGGAAACACAGTATAGACCTGTTTGAAGTGAGTTTTGAGCAAAGGATGCTTCATGATGAAGCATCCTGTTTCTGGCTTAGAACCAGTGCAAGAAAGCCACATTGCAATAGCTGAAATCAGCAGGGACACAACAGATAGAGCCAAGGACATCCAAAACAATGTGTGAACTATTAGTATTATTTTCTAAAGACATATGCTCAATTTAACTTGGAAGGGAAGATTGAAAACAAGTACTACAGGTAAATGTGAAAAGAGTAGTGTCTATTATTTTTTTCTCCTTTCCTCTCTCCGTATCATCCCACTAAATTAAATGTAAGCACCCCTGGTCACAATGCAGCAAAGGTTGTATTTTAGCTTTAATGTAAGTAATGAAGTTTTAATATTAAGTATTAAATTACAAATTTCATAAAATAATGTCCACAATACCTGAAAGGCATCCTGATGTTCATTCTTTCTGCGTATTTGCACAATGTCTCCCACGGACAGTGAATTTTAACAAACATTATGTCACTGTTTGTAACAGCTGGCTGTAAAGAGTGGTAACAAATAAATATATATTAATAATTCAAACCTCTATGGCATTCAACTTTCTAAAAGCATTCTTCAGGGTCACATTCTAGTTTTAGTCCTGAAGTGGCCATGAAAGTCTGAAAACACTCTAAGGGTTCTAAGATAGACAAAGGAAAACTAGTAACTTTTTTTTTCTCCCAGACTCTGTAACATGAGTAAACAACTGCCAAAAGGAATCTGTAGGACAGATCTTTGCTCATAAACACAGCAGAAGTAGAGAAAGGCTTTATGCAGCATTTTTTGACATGGAATAAATGAAATAATTTTAAGTTCCCTCAAAATCATCTTAGATAAGCAGTTGGAAGACCATTCTGCATGTCTCCCATTTAAGAAGAAGAGTGCTCAGCTTCTAGAGTCATAAGAAGAGCTGAGAGAAGGCTTCAGGTCCCACTCTGCCAAAATGGTAACTCCAGGGAATGGTTAAGTAATTGCAATATCTGCAATGAACTTACAAATGCAATCTCTGTATTAATTCAGATTTTTTTGAAAATTACAATTAATACTCTACACAAATGTTTTTCATCACTAATTTATCTATACTTAAAATGAGTTTCAGCATTGTGAGTTCCTATATTTATCTTTTCTTATGAACACTTCAGTTCCACACCCTTCTTCCAGATATATTTCTTTGAGTTTCTATAAGCAAATATTTTGATAGAGTTGAGTCTGATTAAAGCCTCCCAAAAACTTAAGTAATGCAAGGTTTGGTAAGTAAAGGTAAAAGAAAATTCAGGTAAAGGATTAATAATATTTAAAGTGTTCACAATCCTACCTACCAGTTCCATAAAGTCATATCACAGTTCAGTAATACTACTTCTTAAGATTTTCTTTTTCTCAAAAGATGTGGATAAATAATACTACTAGAAGACAATTTAAAACACTCGATATCTAGAATAATCTTACAAAAGCATATTTTTTCTGAAGTGTTAATACTTCTGAATTGACTCCAGCTGAGCTAGTTCTGACTTCAATAAATATCCCAAAATCTGATATTTTTTCCTACTAGGTTCCAAACAATTTTTAAAAGCCTTAAAACAAATTTGAAACTATTGTCAGGCCAGTTATTTATGAATATTCAGCAAGCTACATTGTCACCTAGAACTTAGAAGGACCTCAGAACAGCTAAAAGCTCATTCCTTTAAAGGAATAGAATTTGTAAGCTAATTCTATTGAATTGAAAAGTATAATTCAAGATGAAAGATACATGAAGTATAGGAGCTTACTTCAGGGTAGACTAAATATATGCCTGCTTTATATAATTCATGAAACTGAAAAAATACAAGGCCGTTTTCCTGGCTTTGTTTTCCTTCCTTTTTATATTAATGCTGTCATTGCTGATATCCCAGTCACAACAGCAATAATTTAACATGCGTGTGAAACTTGCCCATCATTTCACAGATGAAAACTGAAAGTTCCTGGATGTCCACCACACTCACTACCACACAGCAGGGAAGAAAAATATAAAATGCAAGCAAAACCACAATTCCCTAGAATTTATTTTTTGACAATGCAAAGAACATCTTGTTTTTAATACTTATTTAGAAGATTGACTGTAAGCACCTAAATACAAATATTAATTATTTTCTATGGTACCAGCAACTGTATTAAGAGCCTTGAAGAGACATTAACTCGTGATTTTTGGAAAACAAACTGTAACAGATGGGAGTCCAGATGACAAAATTAGTCCCATGCAACAGCAACAACAAAAAATATCCATTCTAATACTCAAAGTTTTTAAAAGTTTCAGTATTTAAAAATATGCTCCAATTTCAAAGTGTTTAGACTTTGGGGCGTACATGTGCATGTGTATATGCATACAAGCAAGCATCCCAAAAACATGGTAAACACACACTATCAAACAACTGTTATTATCAATTTAATAGCATTAAACAAAGTCTGACTGGGAAGGCTTCTAAGATTGTCAGGAATCATTTATAAATTCGATAAAGTTTGACAGTAATATAAAAGGTTTTCTTTATAGCACATAAGCTACAAGACGCACCTCTCGTTCTAACATCAACCCTTCTGCTCTCAAATTCTTCTCAAATGTGCTTCTTTTTTCCACCTGTGGGCTTGACTTCTTGTAGACCAAGATGTAATCAATGCGTTTTTTGCCGTCTTTGAAGAAGAGGCCTGATGATGCCATGGCATCAGTCTGGAGAAGATAAAATACAAATACATGAAACATGGCATCCATAAAGATGAAGAGCCTCATCACAAATTCTGTGTAATACAGCATTTCCTAAAGCAAAGAAATATCCACATATCCATAGTATGAATACATAAAGAACAAGTCACAAGAGCAGGCAGTTCGTATGCATCAGTTACTCAGGATTTCAAATTAATTAGAACAAAAAATAAAATAGCTCAACAAATATAAACTTCTGCTAATCTTTACTTTCCAGTAGAAATTAATAAAATGTAAAGACAAACAAATTAAACCAAGTTTCCCATCAGCTTTATACCTGGGCAAATTTTATTAAACAAGTATACTTAAATTTTTTCCACAAGAGAAATAAATTTCAAAAACTAAAAAAGTGCTATTGATTGGAATGTTTTCCTGGATATTCCCATTGAAGTGCTTTTTCAATGTCACGCTAGCAATGTTTAAATCTCATCTAGTTCCTTCCCACCATGCTTGCAAGCACCAGGGATTCTCTGACCTTGATATGGAAAAACCCTGCTTTACATGCTGCTGCTGCAAGCTATTTTTGCATTCTGTGTTTTGCATGATTCAGAATAGACAGTGACGATATCAACTGGTGTCAGACTATGAAGACTTTGAAATCTGAAAAGGTAAACTGAGAAACTATCATCATCTTCTGGAGAATGCAGCCCTCATTTTAACACAAACTCTCCAGAACAAGTAGGTTAGTTTGAAGTAAGATATATTACAGCCATATATATGGGGACCAGAAGTCTATGGATACTCCCATCTTTTAGCAAATAGGATGCTAGTCTTAGAAATTTATTATATATTTATTTGGATTATTTGATATTAAATTTACAATACTCAGAGTTATATCGAATAGTTACACTCTCTACTGATAAACAGAACCAAGTGTTAGTGCATGATATGAGTAGTATAAATACTGGATACCAGCTCACTTGTTTCTATGTGAAAGGTTTTTCTTAATCCCACATACCTCACGGACAACTTTCTACATATTTAGTGCTCCTGAGAACTCCTCAGTCTTCAAAACCTAAAGTTTTCTAACAAAATTTTTCATCCTTCTCTGCTTTTTTTAGCTCCCAAAGCAAAAAATCAAGGAACAGTTATTCTCAAACCACCTAGTGTTACAAAGGAGTGCATCATCATGCATCCGGGAACATTATTTGGGTATATTAAGCTTCAATTTGAATACAATTAAGCTGCTTTTTCCCCTCAGCAGCTGGTGATGGCATTAATTGACACTTTTCAAAACTAACCATAAAAGCATTCTGTTACCTGCTCCAAGGTACATACCTCCTTTTGTATTTTATTAACAAGTCTGTCAATACAAAATGAGTGTTTGAAATCACAGCTTCGTTGCACCTGGCTAGAGTTATGTTGTCACTTTTATGCTCTGCTTTAGGTGCCACCATCCAGATGTGGAAGCAATTTTAGTCTTTGGATTACAGGAGGGGTGAATTCAAATCCCTCCATGCTGAGCTGAAACTAACTTGAGTCTTCTACTACCTGGGTAAATGTCTTAATTTCTAAGCATAGAAGGTGGCATCCTTTTCTTTCCTATTTGAATTGGCATTTGTCTCCAGAATTTTCTGTTTGCTTCACGTGCAGCTTGCCATAAGATGTGTAACTAACTCAGAAGCACAGGGCACAGTGCAGAGATCAGGCACTGGGGCTTTTGATGTACGAGTGCTGGTTGATCCCTGCTGCAAAAGAAATCTAAAAACTAAAAAAAAAATCCCAAACTCATCCTAAATTGAGAGAAAAGAGGAACAAAGGCAGAGAAGACAAGATGTCCACTGTAACCAAGGGAAAAAATATGGAAACTGGAAAATAATTAGGAGAAATGGACAGACATAGGAAGAATAATTTTCCAGTCCTAGATTATCTTGGAAATTTGTTGAGAACAGGAAATATAATTTCCTTTTGCTTGGCTTTTAACTTTGGATTGTCCTTTTTTATTCCCATGAGAAATTAAGTTAAATATAACAAAAAAATGTAAGGAAAATAGTTTATCAATATATTACTGAAACATTTGTTGAAGAATAGCATACTCTATTAATTTATTTTTATACATTCTTCTATTTCTATTTATCTCAAGATATTCAGATAAATAGTATCTGAAGTCCAAATTAAGGTAGTCAGAATTGTTAACCAAAATTATTAGTACACTGACTATAGGGTCTATCACCCCTCCTAAGAATTCTGAATGGGGATAGCAGTAAAAACATTCATTTTTATTCTTGTTTTAAACGTTGTAAATGTAACGATCTAAAGATACAAGATGCAGAGGTTTGAAGGTGAGGTAGTACACTAAGTGTTTGAAAGTGCAAGTTGGAATATGCAAGTTTTTGAATACTCAACCTTTTTTCAGGTTCCAGACACAAACAATGAATCTGCTCTTCAATAGTGAAGAATCCCAGCACAAGTATTTCACAAAAGCAGACTAGAGACTAGAGCTGCTTTTGTGGTCCATGAAGCAGGGAAAATCAGATACAAAAAGCCTGGTGGAAATTCCCCCAAAGGGAAGATCTGGAACTCCTCTTATATAATTTCTGCTCATTCAATTCCTGTACAGACATTCTGCAAATTAAACCTACCTTTTTGTAATACACTTCTACCTTTTTTTGGATTGTTATTTCTAGCTTTTCTTTCCTCATTTCTAAACCATCTGATTTTCCTCAGTCTTGGAAAAACCTTTTCTTTCTCAGATTAACAACAGGATGCAAATACGCCCTCAAATTCACCTGCACCAAATAGAATTCTTTGGGGGCAATGTTCAATAAATAATAAGCTGTGCTGACAGTAAAGGGAAATTTTCCATCTCTTCACCTTAGACCACTTTCAGAGTACTACCACCACAGCTGGAGATGTGCAGTAGTCAAGCCACTTACCACAGTCATGCAGTGAACCTAACATACACTGTATCGATTTCAGAACTGATTCTCTTTAAGTCTACTAACACTGCTACTTTCACTTTAGTGCAATTCTCAAGCAATGTCATCCATCTATATTAGCAGGAATATCTGTGTCAACTAAAATAATTTATCTGGTGATTTAGGCATTTTTTTCAGTTGATCTGAAGACGCTCCATAATGTGTATGGACAACAGGGAGCAGCAATTTCAATTAAAAGTATGAGTCAAGGTATATTGACCGCTATCTACACCTAGCACGGTGAGTCAGTCTGTTAGTGCACTGGGCATTCAGGTAAAGCACATTTATTATTTATCTGCTGTTCTGGACCAGTAAATCTGATTCATTGTCTCATCTTTTTCTCGACAGAGTGGAGGAGAAAAGCATCAGAAGAAATATTTTGTGCGAAGTCCTTACTCTCCTCTATTGTTTTTAAGATTACCTGTTTCACCTGAAAAATGGGTATAAAAATGATTGATCCATGTTTGGTTTTCTCTCCAATTCTCTCTATCCTCCCTAGTTTCTTAGTTTTCCAGATTTTCTGGAACAGTATCCGCTCTTTCTCTCCCTAATTTAAACAGCACAAGTTGCAGAAATGCTAACTATTTCAATTCCACTGGTTTCAGTCTACTGTTCTTCTCTGTAGATTAAACTTTTACCAATTCTTCACCCCATACATAGAAACAAATATTCTAGAACGGTGAGTTGGAACCGTTCCCAAAACAGTAAGCAAATTTCAGATTCACATAAGAATAAATGACATAGTATGCACTGTAAGGTATATATCAGCATACTTTCTTTTTTTCTCACCTTATACCAATGAAAAGTTTAAGGTAAATAATAATATGCACTACCTAGGTAAATTCAGAGGTTAACTAGAAACGAATGCAGATATAACTTATCAGTTGTAACCATTCATTTCACCTCTACTCAACCACTGACTAGTCTCAACAAAAGTAACAGACCAGTATGTGCTTCCAGGTTGACAAAATTCTGTAGGTGTATTAATTTTTATAAATTTTAAACTATTATTTATTTTCTTGTGGATGTATGATTTATAGATTTCATTGTTCTCAGACACAGGCATGACCATGAGGTATCTAAGTGCAGAAAGAGCACCTAGAAAGGTTGTGGATACTTCCTCTCTTGCTCACTTACAATTCTCAGTCCTCTGGTTCACAAGGGAATGGTGCTCCAAAATTCTTCCTTTCTTTACCTCTCCCTATCTTGGTTCTTAAGAGATGTTTTAGAGATAATAATGGATAAGTTCAAGGCTATTAAATCATGTATAAGACAGAAGTAGCCATGGAAACAGTTTGAGGAACTAGGGCAGGAATTCTGACAGAGGTAAAGTCTGATGTGTGAAATTCTTGGGTAGAGTAGCTACCTAAAACTGCAAAATCTACATGAATAGCTTTCCTGTTCTAACTTCAACTAGAATAGTTATTTCTCAAAAAAGAAAACTTTCTTCCAGTATAATTTCTCACTGTTCTTAGAACTTTATAAATGCTATTAAGTAGAGCAATTACTGGTTGATTCATGAAAACCACCTCATTTATTTTGATTATTAATTCTCCCTAACACTGTGATCATGAACTCTGCATTAACATCCTTACACTGAAGGTTGTCACCATTTCCGTGGTTAGTGTCTAGATTCAGAGCTTATGACTCAAATCTTCCCTTTAATTATTTTCTGGAAATAAATACATTTCTGATGCTAACTACAATGGGCTTATTTCCATGAACAATGAGATGCCTAATTAACATTTGCTTTGCTTCAGGATGTTTAAAAATCAAACCTGGGACACCACCAAGGTTACAGATTTCTTTAGTGTCTTGGGTTTTAACTGGAACAGGAATAGGTTTCTTTTTAGTAGCTAGAATAGTGCTGCATTTTGATTTCAGCATGGGATTTGTTATGAGAGAGACACTGATAACATACCAATGTTTCCAGTTTTCACTGGAAGTCAAAGGACTTCATGTTTTGCTAGTCTGCAGGTATAAGATCTGAGGGGTTGAGGAATATTAAAACTAGTAATCCAAATTGACATTTAGATGTGCCAGTGAGATATTCCATATCATATAATGTCATGTTCAGTATATTAAGGAGGGTCTCTCTATGGGGCTCTCTCCCTGGCTTGTGCTTTTCCAGGTCTGCAGTTTTGGTTTTTGTGATTGTTGCTCCTCCAGGATCATTATCTGAAAACGGGCCAGGCTTGGTCAGCGGGTGGTGAGCAATTGCACTGTGTATCACTCATTTGTATATTTATTATTATTGTTGTTGTTATTAATAATAACAATATTTTTATATAATCATTATTATAAGGTTTATTTTATTTAGATTATTAAATGGTTCTTATCTCAACCTACAAGTCTCCTTACCCCTCCAATTCTCTCTTCTATTCCCTAGGAGAGGGGAGAGTGAGTGAGTGGCTGTGTTGGCTGCTAGCCAAGTTAAACTACCACATTAAGTAACATGGAATTAGCTGTGAAAATATTTTAAAAGCTTTTAAAACCATACCAGACTAATTTTTTACATTTTAAAAATCATACACTGCAAGAATTACTCTAAGGTGTGCTTTATGAGAAATTTTCTAAGCACGTGACTAAGTTAGGAAACATCTTTTTGTGTTGGAAGAGTTTTGGAATGGATTAGCTAGAAATAGATTTATTACATTCATCCTTTCAATTACTTAATTCAAAAAATATAGATTGAATTTTAAGTGTGTATTTTTTTTGGTGGGTTTTTTGGCTGTTTCTTTGTTTGTTTTGTGAATAACCATGAGCATAATAACCTAGGAAAGAAAATTGGGGACATACTTGCATATGCAAAGATATCCAAACTATCTTGGGCACCAGAGACAACACAGTCCGATTAACATGACAGGTTGCCGTAATTAGCCATGCTAATGTATTCCTGTGTATATTACACTGTACTGTCTAGAACCTAGCCATCTTCTGAACAGACAGCAAGACTTCCAGAAACATCTGACCTTCCTAATAAAACTGCAGTTTAACTTTTTAGAAGTAATTAGTAATTATTTGAGCTTCATAGAGGACATTTTTTTTCCATTTTAATTCTATTCATACTTACAGAGTAAGTATGAAAAATACATTTGTATATAATATGAAAAATACATTTTGCTTGAGAAAAGGAGTTGGTTTAGGTGATCTTATGCAAAATTTTGAAAGGAAATCTGTTCAGTGTTACTGTATGAGGAAGCAGCCATGGAGGATGTTTGGAGACAGAAGGAGACTTCCCACTTTTCATACTTAACAACTTCTATTTGCACTATAAGTCTAATGAGCAGGCCTTAAGAAGAAGCATAGTGACATGACTACTGAAAACTTTTCTTTACAGGTTTATTCTTTAAAACTTTAATCTTCATGATTAAATTAGTCACTTATCTGTTATCTTTCCTTTTAAACTTTATTTACTTTTGTATTATTAGACTGCATTTGTGGACTATTCCTTATCTATCAGGCTCCCTTTGCTATTCATTCTCCTTTCCAGTACGCTGTTGTCAGCTGACATCTTGTTCTTATTTATACACTAAAACATTTTTATTGCCAACCCTTTTCTTTCAGCATGTATGACTAACTGAACTCAGGAGCAGGATTATGAGTGAAATAATATATGTGAAACTAGTGATAAACTGACAGGATTAAAACATATAGCACAATCTGTGCAACTCAAACTCATAGACTTAAACAGGAAAAATGAAAACATAAAACATCTCCTGCAAAAGTGTGGAAAAGAAAATACTAAGATTGAACAACATTTTTACTTTGTAGATATTACATTTAATTTATTCTGTTTTTCAAAACCACCTACATGAAATTCTGTAAGCAAAATATTTATTTTGCAGGAGAGGAAGTAATAGATATATTCAAAAAAATCAAAAAGTATCCAATAAAATTCCTAAAACCTCCCCTGTATTTCAGGTTTTCACGGGTAGATTTATCCTTTAATAATCACTGTAATAATCTACACTGAATATATTGAGTTGTACTCAACTTATAATGAATTTTCATCAGTATGTCCAGCTCATTAGATACAATTCTCCATATGTTTCGGTTAATTGCTTATTTAAGATCTCATTTAAAATTCCTTAGAAGTTATGTAACATTTCTGGAGACTGAAATAGAAATTGTTTCAGGTCCTATCTAACACAAAGCCAGTCTGGATATACAGGATTATAGTAAATATCAGTGGATACCAAAAAAGGCAGTAAACCAGGCTACTGTACAGACACAGCATTTCTTTATAGCTCTTGAACCCCTAGTGATAATATGCGAACTTTGCTCTAAAAATCATTTTGCTACCTTACTGTCTAGCAAAATACACTATCAAGATAAAAAATTCATCTGATAAAAAAATCCATCAGATCAAAAAGAGCAATAGTAACGTAGTGAATGATAGGAAATGTGTAATTTCTCAAATATTCCTATCTTGCCACTATACACATGATAGGAATTGGTACAGAAAAGAACTCACTGCTACCGACTTCACTGCTTCTCTGCACAAATGTTGCCTTCTATTCAAGTGATTAAGTCTGTTTAGCCTGCTTTGCTTTCTTAGTGAAACTAGAACATTTCAAATATCAACTTTCCAGTCAGGGACCTTCTCATTTCCTAGATTTCCCTTGCAATAGCAGATGCTACTCGTTCTATACTTTGCTTAGCAGCCACTCACTGGCATCATTCCTCTCCAAGAGATCCCTTGGCAGAATCACATAAAGTCATACTTTCTACAGAATCTCAACAGCAGTTGGTGATGAGAAGACAGTGGCGATGGATTAAAAAGACAGCTTTTTATTGGGTCTGAATGACTCACAATTTTTCAATATGAAATCTGTGGATTCTGAAATGATACCAAGCTACAATATATTAGATTATGAGTTATAAATCACAATCAAGGAAAGCAGAAAAGTGGATTACTGTCAAGATGAATGTTGGCATCCAGATGCTATATCGAAATTATTTGATGTTTCTAAAGCTTTAAAAAGTGCAGCAATACAAATCAGATTTATGGAAAGTACCTCATCATGTATGTGATCTGAAACACTAAACAGTTCCTGAAAAAAAAAAGTACATTGACTTTCACCATGTCACCAAGTTAGTTATTGCTGAAGTATTCAAGTAGCTCATCATTGAGACAGATAACAGTTCCGAGGATTAATTGCAAGTAACTTTTTAAGCTATTTTTCCCCAAGTCTCTCAGGTGTAAAACAAGTCTTCCAAAACAAGCCTAAATTAGAATAATTAGCAAGCAAAGAGTAAGAATAAGCTTTTACCCTCGTATGCCTTGCCAATGCGATGTTTCTCATTTTCATTCTCTGGTCAGACTGAGAAGACTTTAAAAATCATGATAGATCAGTTTATTTTCCAAATATCTGAGAGCACTTACCAGCTGTAGAGTTGTCTTCTGTACTTTTAAGTACAAAAAGAATTAGAAGCCTCCTTTTGCTAATTTGATATCCGCTTTGGGAAGAAGTTTCCCTTAGACATTTTCCACTAATTGCCACAAAGACTTGGATGATAATCCAAAGGCAAAATATTAACCTTCTTTTCTAATATAAGACTAATCTAAATCCCCTCTGCCTTTTTCCCGTAGAGGCAGGCAAACAGTAAACAGGAGGAAAATCCTGCTTGGTTGCCTCGTTTGCAAAAACAGTAAAAAAGCAGAAGGAAGTTTCCAAAGTAATTGCTGTGATAAAAGGAGCTGTCAAGGCTAAAAGCCAGATGTGGTTTAAGAAGACTGTTTTTAAATTCTGAAGCACTTTCTTCAGTAGGTCAGGACATATGAAGACTGAGACATAAAAAGTGCATTTTTTTGTTTAAACTTAATACAAATAAAAGGCTCCTCTTTAAACTTTGAAAGAAAGTTAGCTTACTGGATTTCTATATTATTTACATCAGTCCTGAATGCAGGTCTTGGAGAAAACACTGATAGTGGTCATTTCACATGAAATTACAAAAAATATTTTGCTTTAGCACAATGAAATGCCTGTTACTATATAGATATTACCTGTTGCTACATTTTTGGTAACAGCCTTATTAAAAATATTTAGTTCTCTATAACATAGCCTACATGCTGCAGATTATGCATTATTTTTTCTGTCATTTAGAATTATGGAATCATTTAGGTTTGAAAAGACCCTTAATATCATCGAGTCCAACCATAAACCTAACTCTGCCAAGTCCACCACTAAACCATGTCCCTCAGCATCACATCTACATATCTTTTAAATACCCCAGGGACAATGTCTCAACCACTTCCCTGGGCAGCATGTTCCAATGCTTAGTAACCCTTTCGGTGAAGAAATTCTTCCTAATATCCAAACTAAACCTCCCCAGTGCAACTTGAGGCCAGTTCCTCTTGTCCTATTTGTTACTTGGGAGAAGAGACCAACACTCACCTCTCTACACCCTCCTTTCAGGTAGTTGTAAAGAGTGATCAGGTCTCCCCTCAGCCTCCTTTTCTCCAGACTAAAAAACTCCAGTTCCCTCAGCTGCTCCTCAGCACACTTGTGCTCCAGACCCTTCCCCAGCTTCGTTGCCCTTCTCTGGACACGCTCCAGCACCTCCACGTCTTTCCTGTTGTGAGGGGCCCAAAACTGAACCCAGCACTTGAGGTGCGGCCTCATCAGTGCCAAGTACAAGGGGACGATCACTTCTCCCTAGTCCTGCTGGCCACAATATTTCTGATATAAGACAAATATAAAAGGCTTTGTCTTATCTAATCAACAAAATCAAACAAGAACATCCATTATTATTTCTGTTTTAATTCAGCAAGTCTTGCAGAAACAGACAAAAAAAAAATCTGTGAACACAAAAAATTATCATTGCAATGGATCAGATTTATATATAACCCTTCTCTGTCATTACCAAAGTTTCATTTTCATGTCACAGATTTCTGATCTGCAATTAGATTACCTGTAAACCTATCTAAAAGTTATTAGATATCTATTATTATAAAGCATTTTTCTAAAAGCATCCCATGAAATAGTCTCAGAGATTAAATCAACCTGCTACGTGCTTTCCAGAATCCTGTAGTGATGGTGATCAGTGTGATTGAGAGAACAGCTTTATGACTCTTGACAAATGTGCATTCAATCCTAAAACCACAAAACTGTGACTATAGAACTATAAGGCATTTTAAGCATATCTAGATTTGTAGCACATAATTAGTCATGCTTTTATATACCAAAAATCAGAGAATTGCTGGTAAAAACTGTTCTGCAGAATACACTATTTATACTTCTTGAAGAAGAAAATAATTCAGGACTTCTTGAGGTTAGGTCATTTATCATACATTTAAAAGTAATTGTGCTAATGGCAGGAGAATTAAGGGTCTCCCAGTCCAGATCAATAAAAACAAAACAAAACAAAATCAAGTTTTGAACTAAAAATCAGTCACAATTCTTTGGCGTTATAGTGGATGAACTGTTGTAGAAAATGCATTGTGATGAACACTGTGATTAAGTAATTACTAAGCACAATAACGTCAGCTTTATCTGGTGAGATGGCTTTTCTGGTGCTTTAGTTGAGGTTCCTGAAAATACTCCTAACACTCTCCACTACACAAGTGAATTTTATCTGTCATTCAGTGTGTCTAGCTATCATTTGGATTATGCTTAGAAGGAGAATCTTACACTTTAGATCACTCTTGACTGATCATTTGCTACGTGAACTTAGTTCTTCTAAATTCTCTTAATTTCTTGAGGCCTCCCAGTTGACATGAATTTCACTCCATGCTGGGAATTTTATGTCCTAAACTGTGTGAGATATAATTTTTTTGAAAGAAGGCTACTGCTTCTTAGATGAGTTAATTGAATCATTAGAATCCTTGATTTTATATAATTTTGTAAACAGAGAATTCCATTCATTGATTTGGTAGGTCAAACTATAATATGGAAGCTACCTAACTTATTTACCATGAGATGCCTATTTATTTAAGCTGTAATTTACCTAATCCCTCAAAAATTATATTTTAAAAATATTTAAGCACATTCTGACAATTGATACAATTTAATATAGTTTTGTGTCCATTACCTTTAAAGATGATTTAGTCCGAGGTTCTGTTTTCTGTCTGGTAAGTTTGTTTTGAATAAGCAATGACTGATCCGTACGAGCATCATAATTTCCATGTTCTGAATCATCTGTGTATGTGTCTTTGTCCTTTCCTACATCCGAAGGAAAAACAGATGAAAACAGTGGGTTCATTTTAGGTTGTAGCGGAGAGAAAGTAACAGTATTGTTACAGTCAGAGTTGAATATTCCTTTTAAGTATTCACTTTTCAATAATTTATATTCTAATTTTTCCTGCAAAAGTTTTTTCATTGAAATATTTTCATGTGTGTCTTAAACTAGCAGTGACTAATTTTTAGTAGAAGGCCTATAGAAACTTTTTTCTATTATCATTCAAATCAAAAAGGCCCACAACCTTCTTCACAGTAGTTTGAAAAACATACAAAGCAATATAAAGCAAATATTCAAATACTTTTGTGCTTGACTCACAATTGTTGAGACTCAACACGTGTTATTAAATAGGCAGGTGCATCCTGGAGACCAGAATAACATCTCAAGTTTTAAATTTAAAGAAGCAATTGAAATGCCCAATTCCCCTACACACACGCTGCTCATCTTTAGATCTAGTGTTTGAAAATTTGCATATTAAGGTATTGCAGTAACCACTTCAGAACACATTTTAAGAGGTGTACCTGATGGTGGTAGAGGATAGCTGACACCATGAAGAAAGTGTTTCCATTTTCATTGGATTTATTTTTAATTGGTCTAACAAAGTTTTTATCAAAACTTAGTTGAGTATCCTGACAGCTGCAGGATCTTCCTCAAAGCTCACTAAGATCCCCTCTCACAGATTAAATTTCCTCCTGCACCATCACTGCAGGCAAGTTAGAAGGACTTAAGTCTGAGTCATTCTACACCCTCTATCAGAAGGGAGACTTTTTTTCCAGATATTTAATTTCCTTGCACATTCTCCATCTAAAAATCAGGGCAATATTTGCCATATACACCCAGCAGGAGTAAAATGAGGGGTAATGCCTGTACAACATTGGACCATGTAAGTTCCAATGAATGTTGGAAAATGGCTAGTCTGGAAAAAAATATTTTAAAGATGAAAAAGATGGAATAATTATTCCCACACGATTATATCTCGAACAAATTGGAAATAGAAACATATTCAGATAAAAAAGTTACCCACAAATCCTGAGCCAAGTTCTCATCTCAGCTTTCATATCAACATGGGAAAAGACAGGGGAACTGGGAACAGCATTTAGCCCAGTAATTCTAAACTCTAAATAGAAGCCAAGAAACAAGTCATGGTTGCTGTGGGAACCACAATCTTGAATTTCCTGAATTTTATATTCATAAAAGCTCATCTACAACAACATAGTATTTTGCATTAAGTTGTTCAGTTAAATTCTCCACAGTAAGTACCACAGAAAAAAAAAATAAAATAACCACAATTATCTCATGTAGCCTAGACATTACTGAGATGGAATATTAAACTGGAACATATACAAAGAACTATTTTTTTCTGCAATTTAGCTGCTTACATAATGATTACACAAAATGAGCCCTCAGTAATCTCTGATGCTGATATTAACCTCAGTACATCTGTAAAGGGATTTCTTAACATATGAAATAGCCCATTTTAATTATCAGTGCACCAAACTCAAAGTTTTATTTATTTAAAACAATGTTTTAACCTAATATACAGGTTACTCTGTGTAATGTAGTGAATGTAGTAAAAAGACTGTGAAGAAGGTTTTGAGTGGTAGATTTAAGAAGCATACAAACAGTACATAACCAACTTTTCAGATTTGACTCATGTCCAGATGTGATGAGCTCTTAGCTTTCCTAAAGATCAAAGTCTTGTAATAGAAGCCAGTAAAATGAAGAGACAGACCTATGAAACCTAAACTTTTGCATCTAGATAGGCCATTTAAGCTGAAAGAAAGACTCTACTTACCTTAAAAAGTCTATTTTTATGACAAAAGTAGAGGATTATACATCATGAGTACACCTAATACTCCAAAAACCCCTTTGTGGAAGTACATTTTTTATTTAAACAATTTAAAGTTACGAAATGAGTTTTTTCTTAGTGCACAACATACTTTTACCTGCTAAAACTGTTACGTTTTTAAGGGCATAGTTTTTAAATTCTAGCATGTATTTTCTGTAAAAAAAAAGAAAAATTACCTTCCACTTAGAGATACTGCTGTCTGGTCTGAAATGTAGTTAAAAAGGTTTTAGCAACAAAAAAAAAAAAAACCCATTAAGGTAAAGAAATTTAGAATTTAAAAGATACATTTCTTACATAAAATTTAAAAATGCTTGCTATTGTACTTTTCAGCAGTTGATGACTTATTTTATGCACCTAAAGCACTGTCCTACAAAGTAATTATATCAATACAATAAAAAGGGGAGGAATAAGCATAATAAACATTAAAACATAACTTTTAAAGCATTGCACTTAAATAAGCATTTGTTACACCTGTCTGAAAAAATGTCAGACTGAGAGACAGCATACAATCCATATTTTAAAAGTGTATTCCAAAATGTGCATTTTTCTTAACATTCATGTAGTTTTAGACATTAAAGTCAACAAAACACCTGAAGTATACTTTGTAGATACTTTGAACATACTATCAGTCCCATTTACCATTTATTCTGCAGCAAATACTAAAACAACATCCTTAAGATAAATAATTATACTCAAAGAAAAAGTTCAATGGATTACATCATATTCCCATAACCAGAGCAGGTTAGAAAGAACAATTGCAATGTGTGTGTGTGTTTTGGGAGGCTCATTTTGTTTCTTAACTTGAACTTTTTGTTAATTTATTTTGATTATATCCTGGGTTTTGGCTGGGATAAAGCTAATTTTCTTCTTGGTAGCTACAATAGTGCTGTGTTTTGGTTTCGGTATGGAATTTGTTATGAAACGAATGTTAATAATATACTGATGTTTTTAGTTGTTACTAAGAAATCAAGGATGTTACAACTTCCCACATTTTGCTAGTCTGCAGGTGCAGAAGAAACTCAGGGGAAGTGTAGTAAATTACCAAACCCAAACTGGCATTTGGATATACCAATGGAATATTCCATATCATATAATGTCATGTTCAGTGTATTAAAAAGGGTCAGATGGAAAGCAAGGGCTCTCTGTCTTCCGGGATTGTGGTTTCAGGATTGTCACTGCTCCAGGATTGTTATCTTCCAGGAGTGAGTGGCTGCGTGATGTTTGGCTGCCAGACAAGTTAAACCACCACAGATTTGTTTCAAAATTTTAAAATTTTTAAGGAATAGAGAATGAAATATGTTTGGTTTAGAAAAAACTCTTGAGATTAGATGACATAAATGAAACTTTGCCATGAATAGTAATAACTATGCTTTTGTATTCTTCTATGACCAGGTATTTTTTCTTTAATAAGGTAGTCACCACTTTTATTAAAAGAGAATGTCTCTCCTGTCATTTTACCCACCCACTAAGCTGAAATTACATTCCCTTAGAGATAAACTTACACAACCTAAATTAACTTGAGCTTGATCACTCCTAGTGTCACCAATGTATACTATAATACACAGTGATTTAACTCCCCAAGTCTTTCTTCAATAACTGCAGTTTCTAAACTTCCATGACATTTTTATATAAGATTTATCTACAAAATAACACTATTTTCTACCGTCCTTTCCTTCACTATCTCTATTACTTGGTTTTGTATTTTAACTGCCATTTGGGATTGCCACAAGCCAAAGCAAGATAGCATCCCTGAATGTCATGGTTGGAGTTGTATTGCCCAAGGATAATTTTAATGTAACATACCCCAGAAGCAATGATATGGATTAACAGTCTTTCTATTTGACTTGCATTACAAGTATCCATCTTTAAATTCAAATACGGAGCCTTTATTTGGCTGCAGCTCCACAAAACGTCATGAGAAAAGCTTGGCTGCCTCAAGCTGATTCCCTCTACGCTGTGGGAAAGCTACTGTTTACTTCTTTTTTACTTCCCATCATGCCTTCCCTGGCCTACGACAACTCATTTGGTTGTTATTGTTGAGAAAAACTGCCAGCTTTCCCTGCTCTTGTGGTTCCTGGATGGGCTCTAATGCCAACCACCACAACTAGCCTGCTTGACTTTGGGAGGGGGAGGGTGTGGGCAAGAAGCCATAGGAGGCTTCTTATATTGCTTTAGAAGCTCAGGCTTTTACACCAATTAACAGAGAGATGGCTCCTTAACAGGCCTCAGATCACCGCTCACCTCCCCAAGCATATGTTCTCTTCTCCACTGTTAATAAGTGCCATCCCACCTGTGCTTTACTAGACACATCAAAAAGACATGAGCCAGAAGTGTCCCATTCATATGTACTAGTGGACTTCCAAGTACTGGGAATTTATTTATTTATTAATTTATCAATTTTTTCCTCTTTTCAGAGCCAAGAAATGTTGATCAGATTCTCAGCTGTGTAGGTCTAATGACTAAAATATGGCTCTACAATGGTCAATGATCAATGTTTGTACGTTGAAATATATCAGCTGAGCAGATGTGGTTTATTTAGCTTCCAGTTAATCTACACTGTAGGTATTAATTCAGTAAGGCACTAGAACAAATAGTAATTTCCAGAAATTTTAGGTATTTGTGACTATTGCATCAACATAAGGGAGCAGTCCAGGTAAGTGAATGAAAAAACAGCACAACACTGGTTATGAGAAAGAATTACTGCTGCCATACACAAATATGCAATAATATCAGCATGTGTATGTGTACACAATTAGTAAAAATTGAAACAAATTATAACAGTGAAATCTTTTTGTACCCGTGCTTGCCTACCCAATGAACCCAAACACACTATGAGAGTGTAGTAGCAGCTTCAACTGGAACCTCGCTGAGGCACGTGACTTTCTTACACAATCTTCATGCCAAATTTTTGGTCTGTGTCATGATTCTGGAACATTTTCATTTTGTTTTGGAGGAAGTATCGATTTAACTCACATTTCCAGTGGCTAACTCTATAGGAGACCTCGAAGAGCCTCTTATCTATCCTATATTTGGGTTTCAAGAAAAATCGATGCTATGACATGTGACAGTTGAGCAGAAATAGCTTTCTGAAAGCAGATCTCTCCTTCAGCATGAAGATACAATTTCTAGTTTGATGTTACATTGACTGTGAGCAAAAAGATCTTTCACAGCAGTTGTGCAAGGTGCAGCAATATCTGTGTGCTTCAGATTGGTAATACCTAGCCAGGGAATTTAAAAATTAATTAATTTTAGAACTTGCAAATTACTACTCATATACACAGACTCATTTTGCAGTTGCAAGGATGGGATTATTCTAAGAAAAAATTTTCACACTTTCTTTGACTTAAATAAAGTATCAAAATGTCATTAATGGAGGTAAAAGTATGCCCCAAGCATAGCTATTATTCTGTGGGGTTTTTTTTCTCCAGATTGGAACACTTTTTATATGTGCATTTCTAAACAAAACCAGCAGCATAACAACTGCAGCCATGACAATACTGAATAACATGATTATACAGGAATAATAACAACTAAATATTAATATTTCAAAGGAATTTCAAATACATACTTCCAAGTGATTGTATTATGAAAGATTGTTATGGGAAAAGCTTACAACAAATGCATGAAAAAAATACCTCTTTGCCTTTAGTCCCTATTTACTGTTAGTCTAAAATGTGAGAAAGTTATCAAGGAATTTATGACAGTATATATTTCTTTAGCCACATTTAGTATTATCTTCCAAAAAACCTGGCAGCTCAGGGTAAGTTAGGCCTTTCCACACTTAAATATTGCAAGTGTAATTGAAGAATCATTCATTGATTATTATTTTAGATCAGACATAAACTTACCTAAAAATGGATCACTGTATTCTGTATTAGACAGCTTAAGCAAGTTGTTTTCCAAAGTCTCCATCACTTTAGCTGGAATAAATGCAATACTCGTATCAGCATTCACATGTATTTTGTAAGTAAAATATACATTTTTTTAAAGTTATCAGTGACTCAAACTTTAGGCTAAAAGTGGCGCTTTCCACTGGTGGAAAAAGGAACAAGATCGCTTTAGTGACGACTTTCACTCTATTCCAGAGGGAAGTTTAACTTGGTGAAATAACTTACTAGAGTAATAATTATTGCCTATCAACATTAAGAAAGCACTTATCAAAATTTAGTAGCAAAAGCCAGTCAATTTATTCTATAAAGGTTCACACACAGTTGGCAATAGTGTACGGCAACAGGTGACACAGTGATTGGTACCTCCAACGAGACTAGTCTCTCTGTTAAGGTATGTTTATTTTTTAAAACAGAAATCCTAGAATAAAAGCAGTTCCTTTTTCCAACACAAGCTAAAATTCATAGGGATTTTCGCACTTTTCTCTCATTCTCCCTATAAGACTCTTCTCTGATTCTGCTGTTCATGAATGAAGACATTTGCTCCTACATGTTCATACCTAAAAAAGTTTATTGCCAACAGCCTAATATTTATCTTTTCTCTCTCTCTCCTAGGACAGACTACAGAAGCCTTCCTGCTCTTCCCCAGCATGCAGGTGCACTTTGTCTTGTTTTCAGTGAGAAGAAAATAATCTTATAATTCAGAAAAATAAAAGAAAACTTAGCTTAAGCCTCACTTCAAACATCATAGATTCACTCAAGAATTAAGTACCATAGTTCTTCTAGCTGTTTTGTGCAAAAACATCTCTCCAACAAAATGCATATATCTAAACAAATCAAAGCTTATCAGATGCCCCTATAATTTCATAAGAGATGCTAAAAAATTATACCTAAGACACCCCAGGACTTCCAATGATGTTCCCATAGATCCCTTCCATTCCCAGTGTCCGAACAAGCTCCTGAAAGAGGAAAACCTCCTACCTCGTTCTGATGCTGCATCCACTGTAGCTGTCGATGTCCCTGCACTTAGAGGCTGAGGCCGGGGCTGTGGCTGCACACGATTTGGCTGCAGAAATGATGAATGCTTGCTCAGACTCTGCGGATGTGTTTGGCTCTGGACTAGGCATGGCATAGATCTTCTGGAGGGTTTTAATGGATGCTCTTTCACTGTCTCACTCTTGCTTGTATTCATACCTGAAAAAGTCAAAAGAAAAAGAATGTAAGTTCTGTAATATTAGGCAGTGACAAAGAAAGATGGCTAATCATGAAAACTCAAGGTGATTCATCCACTTAATAAGCAGTTCTACAACTAAATAAAAATGTTTAGAATATTTAAATTTCAAAGAAGAATACAGAGTTGGGAACAAAATCCAGGATTTCTTCACCTACCCTTCCATCAACATCCCACAATTCGAACTCACAATACTCTAAATCTGATGATTCACAATATCACTTCTCTACAAATATATTGAAAAGGAACCAAAAACCCATAAAACTGGCTATATAAAATTTTTCTTCACTGAAATGAAAAAACTGTGACTGAGAAATATGACTTAGGAGTTCTAATACTATATTTATTTTACAGCATTTTTGCTAAAATGTAATAATATAAAATTTTTCTTCACTGAAATGAAAAAAAATGTGACTGAGAAAAATGACTTAGGAGTTATAATACTACATTTATTTTACAGCATTCTTGCTAAAATGTAATTTGAGATTTTAAACAGTTAAATCAGCCGACATTGTGCTACAGTGGTTAACAGTAATTCAGTTTTAAAAGTATTTACTATTTCAGCACACTTTGTTTGTATGACTGGCTGTCTCTGTTCTGAGTGTGATAAGTATTTAGAATCAAAAAATATGCAACTACCCTTTCAAGATGAGCAATGGTCATTGCATTTAACTCCCATTTTATATTTCTTCCTAAAATCTCAATAATTTGTCAAAATGAAATTTGAACCTGTCGATATTTACAAATACAGGGCCATATACAGCTATCATTATCCATAAACATGCTCGTTATTCCACTTTAGTAATTATAACCAGATATATTTCTAAATGTTCAGGTTTGACAGACAGTAAATAAGTATTTAATTACGATCATCAAACAACAATATGAATTTATGACTGTGACTCTGCAATAAGTATTGTATTCCAGTATTTGACACAAAGGATGGCTTATAGGCACTATGAAAACTTAAAATTTATCTATTCCTGAAAGGCTCCTGTACACTATAAGGTGTGAATTTAGGGCTGTGGGTTTGTTGTTTGTTTGGCTTTTTTTTTTTTTTTAAAAAAAGCTAAAATACAGATGATAAGGACATTCCATTCTGTAAAATATTTACACACCCCTTTCAAAGCTACAAAATTAATTTCCTCTTTGCTTTTATGGAATTATATTAATGCTCTTAATCATTTCATTTATTGGGTAACCTTTGTGAAAGCACATTGTGGAAGCACCTGGTGGCAAAAACCCACACGTTTCAAAGTCAGTTAGGACAAAACAGTTGGAACAATGATTTGGAAAATAACCCAAACTCTTATAGTTATAAGAAAGAAATTAAGTTATAGTTATACAAAGAAATATATAGTTATTATAGTTATACAAAGAAATTAAGGAACTTTCCTAAGTTTATATGGAATAGATACACGTTTATATGGAATAGATACACCTTCTGACTCAGTCTAAGGGCTTGATGTGCACACCATCCTTGTAAAAACTGAGCAATTCAACACTGAATAAAAATGCAAGTCCCTAAAAAAGCTGATACACTGTATTCAGCTTCACAATGGACAGGGTTTGTTTCTCCTGCCTTTGCTTATAGTCAGGCTGTACTCCAGGAACCAGCAGGTCAGGCACTGCTGCCTTTCCTGTCACAGTGAACTATGTACACAATACAGAAGAAAAATACAGTCCCCAAAATACTGGGAAACCTTTATGAACAAGGGTATTCACATAAATGAAAATTAAAAATATACATTAATATTCACCTCTACCAAGAATATAAGACAAAGAAACAAAACAAAACAAAAACACCCACAAAATATCTATGGTTTCAATGCCAAGGAAAATTAAATACATAGGTTATGCTACAGAGAGTGCTAAAGCCTCCTGTCTGGACAGGATCAGCAGATCTGTGATTGCTGTACACAATGTCAAAGATCTGGAGAAGATTAGCGTAGAGAGTCTGTTTTACTACACTATTTCCCTGCTTGACAGCACAATTCACAATGCAGCATGTTCTCATAAATCCTGTTTTCTTAGTGATGTATATTCCCTCTCTCCAACTGTGCTAGAAAGAAACAAGTAATCTAAACATTTCTGCTACTTGGAGTGCCACAAACGTCCAAGGAATTTTCCTCATCAAAATCTGTGCCACTTAAGAAGGATGTCACCCTCAGCAAGTCTCTCATCTAAATCTCAACAAATGAGTCCATAAAGATGGCCCTTTGGCAGGATACCCCCCACATTTAAATAGAATAGCTAAAGTTTAAAAGGGCCTTTCATTTAAAAACTTCCACGAGCTCACAGAACCTGTTTTGCTTCAATGTGTTGCTCTATCAAGAAATACAAACCTTTGTTAGTCCACTGAAGACAGTTCTTCCAGATCTGCAGCACAGCATAATTGTTCTTGGTCGCACAGATTGAGTATTAATTCAATATGAAGTTAATGTAGATAGAGGTAAACTTCTGCTACCTCAGAAGGTGCCACAGGTCTTTAAATAGGTTTGAGCAGAAAGGGCTCTGCTTCTCAAGGATTCTCAAATGGATGCTCTGTGCCAGCTGAGCACACAGTGGCACTGGGCTATAGCACCAACAATTGTGTTCAGAGCAGAGCAATGCTATGTAATATGGACATAATGCTACTTGCAAGTTTTCTGAGTATTCTGTGTAGCTCTTCTTACGTGGATGTGTTTATTAAACCAAAGTCTACAGTAGTTAGACATAGCAATGGGTAATATAGAATAATAGATTAAAAGTTGTATTTTATAGTTGCTCTGGATGGCTTTAATGATCAATTTCTTAAGCAGTGATATGCTGCCAGTAATTACGGACCCTACCACATAATTATTACCGTTGCCAAAAAAAGAACATTTCTTGCATCCCTATTGGAGTCATTGTGTATAGCCAGACAAATCACTTTAGTAATAAAGAAATCTAAGGTAAAGCAATTAACACACTGTCATTCAATTTTAACAACAATTTAAGAGATACATATAAAAAGAGTATAATTATTTTATGAAGCACTGCCTCAATATTAAAGAAAATTACTCCCTTCTGCACTCTCTCACTGTATATTCCTCTGTGTCATTTCAGACACATTCCTTAATACCGCGCTGCTTCTGCTTGGAGAGAGGGAGTCACAGCAAAGTAACCTCAGAGCACATTTGCTGTTATGCTAGTAGTATGATCTACTTTTGTGATTCAAATTTAACAAGTTAATTCATTCTGTGCTAGTCTGCCAGAGTCCAGTTCTGTGATGTGCTAGTTTTGGTGGCATTTGCTGTTGAGTGCCAACCCAGCTCTGGCACACAAACAGCTTGTGGTTGACATCATCAACTGGGTCACTAAACTGATTTACCAGAATTATTTTTATTCCTTCCCCTCTTCTTCTTCCAGGATCTGCACCTTTCCAACTAGAACTTTGCTACAGCCCTTGCTTGTTCAGGGAAATTTGGATCTGCAATAAAAGACATGTACACACTCAGGAAAAAACAAAAACAAAAAACCCACAAACAACCTTGTTTTTCTAGTCAAACTGCATTTATTAGTTCTTTCCTTATAAAATATTCCTGTGGCACTTAGCAGGAATATAGAAATTTCTCACACTGGAGAAAGAGGTGGTTAAAGTTTATGGTTTAATTAGATCCTGTCTTTTATTTTAACACTTCTACCTTGGAAAGCGTTCTTTCCGAGGGGAAGCTGGGGATTCCTGTCATGTAGGCAAATCCCTACATGGCTCAAAGCCAGAACTGCCAGCTGTACTACATCTTCTCATAGCTTCCTGGCTGAGCAGGCAGGAAAGATGGAGATAGAGCATGATGAGCTTTCCTGATCATTAAATCAGTATGCACAATTTAACGCATGCTCAATATTATGCTAACCTAGAAAGACTCTAAATGAAGCCAGCTCTCAGATGCCTCCAGGTTTTGGCCATTAGAAACATAATGCCTCATTCTGTGAAATACAGATACAGTCAATCATTTCTTTACTATTAAGAGAAAAAAAAAATTACATTTCATTTGCTCTTAATTTTAAATGAGGAAAGTTTGACAGCTAGTCCATAGACACTGTTAACTCAATGCTGGAAGCACCCTTAGCAAGGCTAGACCAGTGCTAATTTCAAAAAGAATAGCCCAGTAACTATTGCTCGTTTAATCCAGCATAAACCTTTGCATAAAACAGAAGTAGCTACTATGTATGTCAAAACAACAGCATCAGCTTTATAGAGATCTGCTATATAATAAAGTCTGCAATCCATATCAACAACATGCAGGTCTTACCAACTACACATCATCACAAATTTGTTTGATTAAAATACCTTCTTCATTGTAAAAACACTTCTGTAAAGCTTTTGGCTTCATGTATCATACATCACTAATTAAAAATGAAATGTCATTCATAAAACATGTTAAACAGACTTGAGAACCTGATAAGTCTCAAATATTTCTGTCAACAGCATCATCAGAATCTTTAATCACATAAAATATGAAGAAAAGCTTGCAATGGTTTTCATGACATTTATGGCTAATGTGAAAACATATTTTTACAGTATCAAGTAGAAAACAGCTCAATTTTGAAGAGCATTTAGTTTTCAGTACTCAATGGATGTAACTGGCACTTACTGCTAAAGAATAAGCTTACTCTGACTGGCAGCTGCAATCTACAAGAGAAAACTTAATGTAGTTTAATTACTCTATTAAATCCTGAGAAACAATAACCAAAAGATACTTAATGAAGAAATAAGGAATTATTTCAGTAACAGTAGAAGTTTTCTTATCTATTTGTAATACCTCAATAAATACAAAGAGTATTCAGTTTCACGTATTAGGCCAGTATTTGAGTAAGTCAGGAATGTACCCATACGTTTTTTTCCTTTTCTATATAAAAGGTAGAATCAAACTGGATAACCTCAGACTTAATTTTATATTCTTACAGGAAAAAAAAAAAAAAGCAGCATCAGGTAATCTTA